TTCTCCCTCAACCTTATTTTGCAATTCCCTATCTAGCTTTGTGTTTCCGATCCTATGCAATATATGATAGTACGAAAGCGTACAAAAGGATATATAATAAAGCTATAGGTACAGGTCAACTTAACATAACTATTACAGGAATTCAAAACAAATTTGACGTGGTAGTGTAAAATAAGAAAAACATAAAAAAAAAATGAAAAAAAATGAATAATTGGGATAACAAAAGAGGGAATCCATTTCCCCAAAATGCCAAAATGGAGAAACCCACTACTTCGTAGTCCACATCTTGGGTCGACATCCTACTGACTGGCCCAATAAACCTGGATCAGTTTTTTAAGTTTTTTTCCCATGCATTTGAGCTATTTGGTTGCTAGAAACTTTGTAAGTTTCTTTAATTTCTTTTCACTAAAATTTCAGAGGTGCAAGCGAAAGCATCGATTCTACAACATCCCAGACCAGAAATCTTGACAAAATGATGAAAAGGCTATAGATTATTTTTATCTATTTGGTTACAATTTTGTTGTAAAACATCAAAAGAATGGTCTTTTTTATTGTCTAAAAAACCATATATTTGGTTGCCGTTTTCTCTAAAACATCAAAAGAAGGCTATCTTTTTCTATAATAAAAAGATTTTATAACATTTTCTTACTATATTTTTTGCAATCTTAGTTTGTTGTTATGTAAATCTTTCAATATTTAGTATAAAGTGGTCATGGATCCTGTGAGTCAGTTTAATTATCATTTCATTTAGAAATGTAAAATTATTGTTGGCTGCAGGTAGAGTAGTTAATAATATGTCTCATTGTCATATCACTACTATATTAAAAGAGGGGATGGGGTGTGTACCGTTCATTTGTGCACGCTTGTTTTCACACTTCGTTTTTGTGCACTGTTGATGATATGATTTTTCTATAGTGCTAGTCACAGTTGTTGAAAATTCACTAGAAGCCACAATTGTTGACTGGCTTTCTGTTCAACTTTAATTAATTGTGGCTTGCTTTCTTCTCAACTTTAATTGAACGTACTCTCAATTACAATATTAAATAGTCATAGCCTATAATCATTGAGTTATTTCACAGAGATCTGGTTTTCAATCGATTCCTCCTCCTTCTTCGCATGAGTCTTCACTTCCCCTTTCTCAGCTCTTGTATTTCGAATGATTTCCAGAAATAAAACATCAATTCTAGTTTTCCAAGATTCAGCCTCATAGGAAACTTGGCTCGATGCCTCAAAGGAACATTTCCTGTTTGTTGTTGTGCTTGTGACGTGATTCAAGAATCAAGCTTGAAGACGACGAGTTCGAGATAAGACCCATTGAGAATCGAAGGCGGACCGATGACGCGATCAAGTGCAAAGCAAGTGAAACAAGCGATGGAATTGCTCGTTCAAGAAACCATTGATGGAACGATGTTTGGGACGTAAAACGAGGTAACTTTCATGTTCGGATCAAGAGCCGAATCAAATTGGATCAACTCAATACAAGCTGACGAAAACGAAGGCAAACTGGTCTACCATGCGACCGCATAGTAGAATGGGGCTTGCGATCGCATACGGTGTGGCAGGGCCAATGCGGTCATAGTTCAAGTGAACTATGTGATTGCATAGGTTTACACTATGCGGTCGCATAGTGTTATTTTGAGGACAAAATTTCATTTTCCGTGTTTTTTCCATATTTTGTTAGAATTTTATTTCTAGTCAAATTCTTATGATATTAGACGGTTATTTTCGAGATTCTACTAGATTATTAGTATTTTATTCCTTTTTTACTTCTATTCTAGGATTTAGTATAAATAAAAGTTTATTTCTTCATTGTAAAAAAATGGACATTATTTGGCGAATTAATTGAAAGGCTGATTGCTTTCATTCCTTGTTCTTAATTGAACTCTCTGAACTTATCAAGAACTATTCTTGTGACGTTCTACAAATCGAGTACGGGTCTTGGATTGTGTAATCAAGGGGTCCTTCAAACAATGTTCTTGCTAGGTTTGTTGGTTCATTAATTTAAGGTTCAATCTTCAAACCTTTTATTTGGCTTTTTTGGGGTTTTGGAACAATCTAGTTGTGGGTTTCGTAACCAACACTGCTATGAGGTTCGCATTAGTTGGTATCAGAGCACAGGCTCTGATTAACAGGTTATATCTTTTGTTTTTCTTTGTTGAGTCTAGTTTTCTAGTTTTTCGTGTTTTTTTTGTTAATTTTCTTTCTTCGTTCTTCGGTTCTTGTTAATTTGAGTCTTAGTTCTCATTTTTCTTGTTCATCTTATCTTTCTTCTTTGTTTGAGTCATCGTTAAATCGTTGGTAATTTAATTCGTTGTTTTAGTTAAAAAAAGGAGCTCGTTACTGTTCACGTCAAAAAAAAAATCGACAAAAAAAAAGAAAAAAGAAAATATTGTTCATTCCATACAGGAAAAAAATTGTTATTGTTTCATTCCATACAGGAAAAAAATTGTTATTGTTCTTTTATTGGTACTCTACTACCAACAAGTTATTTCTTTTAAAATTCCTTTCGAGTCACATTAGTTTCTCCTCAGTCAATCATGTTTGAGTCAATTCCATTAAATTTTCTTTTAGTCCTTTTTGTTTCACAATCCTTGGTTCACATTCGGTTGGGAATTCCACGGGTTTAAAATTCTTCGAGTTCACTTTGTTCTTTGAAGTACTTGGAAGAAAGTACTGAGTGGTAAAAGACGGAGTTGTGGGATTAATAGAGGGAAAAAGACATATTGTGTGATTTTCGAGTGAATATTGTTGAGGCAGATAAAATTCTAGTTTTAGGATGTCTAAACGAGAAGATTCCAATTCAAGTCGACACAAAAATCATAATAGTACAATGAATGATTTGATATAGCAATTTGAAAGTGCGTTTGGAGATGTAAGGGATAGGTTAGATTAGCACGAAGCTTGGAGGATAAAATAAGAAGCTGGGATGACTAGGTTGGATACATTGATGGCCAATCTTAGTAGGGGACAACCAGTAGAGGTGTTGAATGCTAGGGGACCGGGTAGGCGAAAACCTAGAAGGGTAAGACATGAGGAATATGATAGTGATATGAATAAGTATGAGGCTAATGACGTTGATTTGAGGCGGATAAGGAATGGAAGCGATATGTTTGAAAGATGGGGCAAGAATAATAATGGAGATGAGATGGATGGAAACATGGGTAATATCAAGATGACCATTCTATAATTTAAAGGAGAAGTGATCCGAAGGCATATTTGGAGCGGGAGAGAAAGGTTGAGTTGATTTTCTAGTGTTATAACTACTCGGAGGAGAATAAGGTGAAGTTAGCGGTTTTAGAATTCATTGATTATGCAATAACTTGGTGAGATCAGGTGGTTACTTCACAACGTAGGTGTGTGGGAAGGCCGATTAGTACTTGGGAGGAGTTGAAGACTTGGATGAGAAAACGATTTGCTCCTAGCCACTATTGTAGGGAGATCCATCAGAAATTGCAAAGCTTGTATCGAGGGTCGAAGAGTGTGGAGGATTACCACAAGGAGATGAGATACTCATGATTAGGGCAAATACGGTTGAGGATCGGGAAGCTACCATGACACGGTTCTTGAATGGGTTAAAAAAGGAAATTGCTAATGTAGTGGAGTTGCAGCATTATGTGGAGTTAGAAGATATGTTGCATGTAGCCATGAAGGTGGAGAGACGATTGAAGATAAAGGGAATAGCTAGGCAACTGTTAGGTACTTCGGGTTCTAATTCATCTTGGAAACCGAGGTGGGATAATAACAAGGGTGATAGGGCTGTACCTAAAGGTAGGAATGATTGGCAAAAGGAGAAAGATGAAGGTGTTAGCAGAGCAATACCAAAAACGGAGTCACAACCATCAAGGAGACGAGACATCTAGTGTTTTAGATGCTTGGGGTCGAGGCACATCGTTTTTCAATGCCTGAACAAAAGGGCAATGGTGTTGTGAGACAATGAAGAGGTGGTGAGCAAAGTGAAGGTGAATATGATGACATGCTGGCGTTGGAGGAGGTTAGTGAAGAAGAAAAGTTTGAAGGTGCTGTTGGGGATCTTTTAGTTGCGAGGCGAGCTCTTACTACTCACATCAAGGCGGATGACTCAAAGCTACAATGAGAGAACATCTTCCATACTCGATGCCATGTCAACGATACGGTATTTAGTGTAATTATTGATGGTGGAAGTTGCATAAATGTTGCTAGCATAGCACTTGTAGAGATATTAAATTTAACACTGTTGGGGCACCTTAGGCCATATAAATTGCAATGATTAAACGAAAGTGGAGAAGTTAGGGTTAATCGAATGGTGTTAATTAATCTCTCAATTAGAAGTTATTGGGATGAGGTAGTGTGTTATGTAGTACCAAAGCAAGCGAGATATATTTTGTTGGGGAGACTTTGGCAATATATTAGGAAAACAATACACGATGGGTACAAGAATCGTTACAGTTTCTTCAAGGACGGGAGGACCATTAACCTTGTGCCATTAACACTGGCGCAAGTATATGAGGACCAAATCAAGTTGAAGAGTGAGGAAGAGAGAAGGGTAAAAGAGCTAGAGAAGAAGACAGAAAACAGTGAGATTGTGAGTAAGAGAGAAAATAGTGAGGTGGCTACTAGAGAGAAAAAGAGAGAGGAGCTACAAAAGAGAAAAGAAAGAGAGTCTTTCGAGAAAAAAGAGAAGTTACAAGCGAATTTCTTTGCAAAAATGAGTGATTTGAAGAGAGCCATGGTTGAAAGAAAAGAAATGATTTTGTTGCTGTATAAAGAAACACTCCTCAAATTTGAGGAAACTAACCCACCCCTCCCTAGTTTGGGTAAGTCTTTATTGTAGGAATTCGATGACATATTTTCGGAGGACATGACTAGTGGGTTACCACCCATTCGAGGTATTGAACACCAGATTGACTTTATACTTGAAGCTGTCATTCCAAATCGACCAGCTTACTGAAGCAACCCCTAGGAGACAAAGGAACTTTAGAGGCATGTAGAGGAGTTGATGAGCAAGGTTTATGTACGAGAGCATGAGTCCATGTGCAGTACCAGTATTGCTTGTGCCAAAGAAAGATGGGTCATGGAGAATGTGCTTGGATTGCAGAGCCATCAATAACATAACGGTAAAGTATCATCACCCAATCTCTCGATTAGATGACATGTTGGATGAATTGTATGGTGCATGTATTTTTAGCAAAATTGATCTTAGATGGCAGTTTTAATGCAGGAAAGGAGACCAATAGCCTATTTCAGTGAAAAGCTGAGTGGAGCTGCATTGAATTACCCAACATATGACAAATAGTTGTACTCTCTTGTTCGGGAGTTGGAGACATGGCAACACTACTCGTGGCCAAAGGAGTTTGTTGTTCACATCGATCATGAATTATTGAAACACTTGCGGAGTCAAGGAAAGTTGAACAAAAGGCATGCTAGATGGATGGAGTTCATTGAGACATTTTTGTATGTCATCGAGCACAAGCAAGATAAAGAAAATGTAGTAGTAGATGCGTTATCTCGAAGGTATGCCTTAATAACTTCTTTAAATGCTAGATTGCTTTGTTTTGAACATATTAAGAGCATGTATGAAACCGATTTAGATTTTTTCGATATTTACAAATCTTGTGAAAAGGTGGCTGTTGATAAGTTCTTTAGGCATGAGGGTTATTTATTTCGAGAAAATAAGTTATGTGTTCCTAATTGTTCAATAGGAGATTTGTTAGTGAGAGAAGCACATAGTGGTGGACTGATGTGACATTTTGGGGTACACAAGACTTTGGAAATGTTAGGGGAACATTTCTATTGGCCTAAGATGAAGGTTAATGTTCGGAGAATTTGTAGTCGATGCATAACGTGTAAAAGGGCTAAGTCTAAAGTTTTACTTCAAGGATTATACACACCATTACCTACACCTAGTGAACCATGGGTTGACATTTCAATGGATTTTGTTTTGGGTTTACCTAGGACTAAGAAATGAAGGGATTCAATTTTTGTGGTGGTAGATAGGTTCAGTAAAATGGTGCACTTTATACCATGTCACAAAACCGATGATGCCGATTTGTTCTTTAAAGAGGTTGTGCGTTTGCATGGGGTTCCAAAGAGTATAGTTTCAGATAGGGACGTGAAGTTCTTAAGTTATTTTTGGAGAGTTTTGTGGGGGTAAGTTAAGAACGAAATTGTTATTTCCACAACTTGTCACCCACAAATCGATGGGCAGACTGAGGTAGTCAATAGGACTATGATTCAACTCTTGCCCACAGTGATCAATAAGAACTTGAAAAATTGGGAGGAGTGTTTACCTTTTGTCGAGTTTGCTTATAATCGTGCTATTCATTCTACTACTTCATTTTCACATTTTGAAGTTGTTTATGGTTTTAATCCGCTAATCCCTTTGGATTTAATTCCGTTATCTGTAAATGAGCGTAGCAGTATAGATGGACAAAGAAAAGCAGAGTTGGTAAAATCACTCCACAAAAAGGTAAAATTGCAAATTGGAAACAAAAAACAGGCTCATTGTATCGCAGACAAACAATGGCAGAAAGCATGTGACATTCGACCCAAGAGATTGGGTTTGGGTGTATTTCAGAAAAGAACACTTTTTCAGAACAAAGGAAGTCAAAGTTGCAACCACGGGGGGATGGTCCATTTCAAGTCATTGAAAGGATCAACGACAATTCATATAAGTTTGACCTACCAGGTGAGTATAATGTTTCAGCAACTTTTAATGTGTTTGATCTCTCTCTCTCTTTGATGCAGGTGTAGATTCGAGGATGAATCCTTTTGAAGAGAGAGAGGATGATATGATCTAAGAATCAAGTTTGAAGACGGCAGTTCGAGAGGAGATCCGTTGAAAATTGAAGGCGGACCGATGACGTAATCAAGGGCAAAACAAGTGAAACAAGCGATGGGATTGCTCGTTCAAGAAACCAATGTGGAACGATGTTCAGACGCAAAACGAGGTAACTTTCATGTTCGGTTCAAGAGCCGAATCAAATTGGATCAACTCAATACAAGCCGACGAAAACAGAGGCAAATTGGTCTACCATGCGACCGCATAGTAGGATAGGGCTTGCGGTCGCATACGGTGTGGCAGGGCCAATGTGGTCATAGTTTAAGTGAACTATGCGACTGCATAGGCTTACACTATGCGAGGACAAAATTTCCTTTTCCGCATTTTTTCCATATTTTGTTAGAATTTTATTCCTAGTCAAATTCTAATGATATTGGACGGTTATTTTCGAGATTCTACTAGATTATTAGTATTTTATTCCTTTTTTACTTCTATTCTAGGATTTAGTACAAATAGAAGTTTATTTCTTCATTGTAAAAAAAGAGACATTATTTGGCGAATTAATTGAAAGGCTGATTGCTTTCATTCCTTGTTCTTAATTGAACTCTCTGAACTTATCAAGAACTCTTCTTGTGGCGTTCTACAAATCGAGTGCAGGTCTTGGATTATGTAATCAAGGGGTCCTTCAAGCAATGTTCTTGCTGGGTTTGTTGGTTCATTAATTTAAGGTTCAATCTCCAAACCTTTTATTTGACTTTTCTGGGGTTTTAGAACAATCTAGTTGTGGGTTCGTAGTCAACGCTGCTACAGGATTTGCATCAGCTTGCAATGACTAATGTAATCCATTTGCATCCTGCATCTGCCCCATCAAGGTAAGGTTTACCAAGATGGTATTTCGGTAGCCCTGGTCAAACTTTAGCGATAAACCTTGGCAAAGTTTTGTTCCAGAGTTAGTGATTATGCAGGCGATTGAAATATTTTCTTCCTCCATTATTTTTAGCTTTAAGATTGTGTCAACATGTCATTCTGATGGAAAGACTTGTGCATAACCATTGGAATACTGAGGCCTAATTCTAGGATTTGTATTCAATAGATTCATTTTTTCAGGGAGCTATATTTAACAATGAAAAAATGTTATTTTTATTGTCATTGTTTTGAAGAACTGCCAGTTAAATTTCTGTCCGTTGAATGTATATTGAGCACCAAAGCTTGTCCAGGCTCAGTTTCTTCCAACTATTATCACCACAACCCGACAACAACGACCCAAGACAATAACCAAGCTTCCACTTCCAGTTGCCAATGAGATAGTTCACTTAGGAGACCACAAATGTGCACCATATCTCATGTATTATCAGTACTATAGGTAGAAAATCAAAAGAAGGCTTAAGAGTAGAAGAAAATACAGTTGACCGAATCACACAGAGAGAGGCAAGGACGGGTTCTTCACAAAGAGAAAAGGAGACCCATTTTATTAAGTAAAAATGGCCCAAGTATGGTAAGTATAGCTAGGTTAATTATTGAGTCAAAGTAAGGCCCAATAAGTAAGTAAATGAGCTCACAAGTAATCAGCGGATGGGGTCACGAGTAACACTAAAATATTTAGATTGTTTCGCATGACCCAATTAACCTTTGGATCGTATCGTCTCGATTGTGGTGTTATATTATAGTTCAGTCATTTGGCTAAGCCGACTGAATATTAAAATCGAATAACATCATAGCTCGAGGGAGGTCGTTTGACAACAAATTTCCTAACACAGTCAAATTTATTTGTCACCAAATTAAGTTTTCGATTTTCAATTTCATGTCATTTGACGATTTAATTCTGAATTTCCTCTTTCACTTTGTTTAGTATTAAACTTATGAAAATTAATGTATTGTGCCTTTTTTCTCTAATTTTTATATGATTGTAACTTAATTTTATATCCGTCATTTTTCCTTTACTTAGCACAGCTCTGAGTTTTATTAATCTCATGATTCATGATAGATTGTTCATTTAAACTATTCAGAATCTGTGAAAAATATCTCATGATGACTCCATGTGATGATGGAATATGAGAAATGCTCGGATATAGATTACTATAACTATATCTAAAAGTTTACATAAATGGATTAATTTTGTGTTAGTGTAAACATTTTATGTCAAAGTGAGAATAATAAAAAAAAAATATCAAATTACCAGCGATGTTTCTCACTACGTTACTCTTTAGTTATGGCTGTTGATAAGTGTATTTTATACACTTATTTGGGGCCCTAAAATAGCAAAATTTGATAGTTCTTCTGACAAATTATATTTTAAATTATTTTGTTTTATGTTTAACAGGTAAATTTTATGAATGAAAAGGGAATTGAAGGAAAGAAGCAAAAAAGGTGAAAATGGCAAAATCCAAAATATGAGGGCTAAATTAGCCATTGGATGCAAATTTTGGAGATCAAAATATCATACTTTGGAACGTGAAGGACTTGAATTGAATCAAGTAATACATGGGTTGCAACAAATTAATTGGGCTGCTAGGTTTTATCTTTTTATATCTATAGATATATATGCTACATCCGACAGAGGGAAAAAAAAAAAAAGAGAGAAGCATCCCATTAATCTTTAAATGCACTCACAGAAGGAGAGAAGGAATCGAGATTCTACTGGGAGAAATTGGTGTGCTACAATTGAATTTGATATATATACATACCACAGAAAGCACCAGCTAGAGGCATAGAATTGGAGTCCCTTTTTCTCTTTAGTCAAACATCGCGGCTGCATACTAAAATTGGGAGGTTAGAATTTAATATTCAAGGCAGCCAATATACACGTGCAGAGAAGAGAAAAATTTGGCCAGCTAGCTGCTATAATATAATTAAATACACACAATAATTGGAGCAGCTCTGGGGCTAGAATTGAATTGCGGAATTAACAACGAAAGGGGGCAACTTTGGACACACATGGACGTTGGGCGGTGGTGCTGGGGTTGAAAACCAAGGAATTAATATATACAAGCAGAGATTGTAGAATTGTTTTCAAAGCTTACGCAATAATTTGTGCAAGTAATTACGTTTCATCGATTTATTGGTGATGTCCTTCCACCTTCATTTGTTTAATTTCGACATTATGCTAGGCTAAATTTTTATTGTTAGGATGTGATGAACTCTTGTTATGAATTTTTAGTTATAATTAGATTGACGTTAAATTTGTTTGAATTCTTGGATGTTTATTACGGTTTAGTTTGCTTTTCAATTACTTGACCATTAATTGAATTGTTTGTGAATTTTGTTATCATCGAGAGAGGTAATATGATCATTAGCACATAGTAATAAATATTGTGAGGCTCGATAGAGGATCGAGATATACCTGTTTGCTTCACATAGTTTTTATAAATGTTCTAACTCGTTTAATGCTTTCTTGCACGTTTTTATTTTTCATAGAGATATAGGAAAATCACGTGTAGGATAAGATTTAATTGCTATCGAGAGAGCCTTTTAAATAAAATAGGAACATTAACCAACAAGCACGATTTCAAATTTTCAGTTTAAATTGTCGAACTAAAATGGAATAGCAAGGGGGATTCCACATCTTAGCAATACTTCTCGCAAATTTGATAAACTTTTACTTTGCTTTCTATTTAATTGACATATTTAATAGTGTTCGTTACAATTTGACCTTGCTATTCAATTAAGGGAATTATTAGCTTTAACTCGATCAAACATATAGTTCGTGAGTTCGACACTTTACACACCACTTTATTACTTGTTCACGATCATGTTCACTTGTGGGTAATCAAACGATCAATTCTTTGGCGCCGTTGCTGGGGACTATTGTTTTTGACTACTTTTAGTTAATTTTAACTTTAATTTGAAATTTTTTCTATTTTTAGTTTATTTCATTAATTTAGAAAATTTTTACGATGATTCTTGTTTTCTTTTTCAAGACTTTGTATGCGAAGTTCAAGAACTAGTAATCTTGCTCAATTTGACCC